CACCGGCTGCTCGCATCGCGGAGTGGTTTGAGCGGGTGAAACGAAAGCGACTTTTTCGTAGACATCGAGGATGAAACCTTAGCTCGATCGATTGTGTCGCGGCAGAGAAACACAGGGTAATTTATTCGGTCGTTGGCGTCGTCGATAATCAATTTTAACCCTCAAACCGGTGGGGTGAAATGCTTGTTACATAACTAGCCGGCTGAAGTTAATTTGCCCTCGATTACAAAGCAGGACGGAATATGCGCGATTTATCTGATTAAATACGCGACTGCAGCTTGACGCGGATTAAGTCGTTATAAAAGCATCGGATGTAAAACCGATGCAAAAAGTATCGAGACAGCGGTGAATTAATTTTCTCGCGTTTGCCCGTCGACCACGTTGCCAATTTCCCATTGTTTGCGTTATTTCGAATCCGAGGAACCGGCTAAGTAACAAGGTAACGACGGCGAGCTTTGAGGTTATGGTGTGGGAGTATGAAGAGAGAAACCTTAGTTAACCTTCTTTGCTTTGTAATGATCATTCTTGAAATTAAGTTATTGATTGAATGAAGTTCTATATAGGCTAGGATTATGACGTGTTTCTGCTATTGTCATTGAATATCAAAAAAGGTTTGAAAACTTTTGTCGCTGACACGATAAAAGTCTTGTCCAGCAAATTTTTCATGTACATCGAGATATTTTATTCCACTTGGTTCTTTTGTTACGAAGATAGTTATGGGGATCTTCCGCAGTGTTAAATATATCAGGTACTAATAGCTATAGTTGCTGTCTGCTAAGGCTACCGTTGCATACAAAGAGTCATAATGCACGGTAGGATAAATTATTTATTACGGATGGATAGGAGCAATGTCCATTTATCCACTTACTTTTTCCATCGTTTCGAAGTAACTCGAATAGAAACGTCAATAAATGGGTCTACATAGCCATAGACTCTATACACGGCTATGCACACTCGCGATACGTTGTCCCGTATAATATAGCGACAGCTAACTCTGCCATAGTGAAAGGGCTAAATAAGTAATATACGAGGTTTGTCGGTACAGCACTCAGCCATTTAATTTAAAAAGGGAAAAAAATAAAACGTGACTCGCGTAGTAGGTACAACGGCCCTTTGGCTCTGCTCAGACTAGTCTCCGAGATCTTGCGGATCTGTCTTAATTGTGAGCCACTTTTCATTTTAAATCGTCCGTTCACGCGCGTTGTTCTTCGTTTCCATCGTGATCTGAGACATATTCCCTTTAAACAGCGTTCCTAGCTTCGAAAAAGGCCGGAAATCATAGGAAGCCAAGTCTAAACTCAGGAGAGCTGACAGACCCAGTGATGCGATGTTCTAATGCAATGTCTGTCAAGACTTGCTAAATCTCTGTTCACGTTTTCGATGCTGGGACTACTGAACCAGTCGGAATTATTTGTTTCGAAGTTTTGGCAAAATTGGTGCTGCCTTTTGTTAAAATAGGAACGTAATTATACACGCGTGTTTATTTTCATCAGGCTGTTTTAACGTGCTTTGTATGTACAAGTGTACGATGGGACGCATTAGAGCTCGATAGTTCTAGTATTAATATAGATTACCGTCGCACTAGCTACCTGGTTATTAGCGTCAGGAACGAGTATGTGGCTGACCAGATTTTCGATCTTTTGTTATCTTTAAGTAGAGCTTCATTCCGGTCAAGATAGAGCGATGCATTGTAGTTATGGAATGCTTCCTTTACATAATGGGACTGGTTGTTGCGCTAATAGGTACGCGTAACCTGTTCTAACTCCAGTTATGACAACTTCATCTCTTCGACGAGAGAAGAGGGTAAAATTATCTGGTATATATATCCAAAAACACATTGTCGGTTCACTGATCTATTAGACTAAGCTAGGTCAGAATGTAGAATGAGTGTTACGCTTGGATTCCATTACAACACTTCTTCGCGTCGAGCTGTGCCTGTGTATAATACTGCAATATCCGATGCGTTCGAATTTTACTGCAGCGCCATCTCGATCTTAGCAATGCTTAAGATAACCGAAGCACGATCGCGCTGTTCAAATTTGATATCGGCAAGTGCTATTGCGTCGCATTAGGTTCGCAGTGGACGATCCATTCGAATTCGATTGCAGCGCCATCTCAGTCCTAGTAATACGGGTGATAATCAAAGCACGATCGCACTGTTCGAATTTTATATCAAGTTATCGAAAACTAGCACCGTATTAGCACTGTATTATATCAAATTATCGAAAACTAGCACAAGCAACGCGTTCGCACTCTACTCCAGCGTCCTCTCAGCTCTACCAGGATTTAACGCGCAACACAGTTGCGCCATCTGGCGAGTTCCGGCGTAAACTTAACCAACCGCGTTCTCAGTGCTCTCTGGCATGTAAGCTTCCATGTTTTCGTCAAATTTTACCGAGATTAAGATATTTAAACGCGTCACAGATACACCCTTCACGTTTTCAAGAATTTAACTCGCGACTTAGCTGCAACTTAGCAATTTAGCTCTTCTCTACGTAACATTGGAACGTGTCCTCTCAGCTCTACCAGGATTTAACGCGCAACACAGTTGCGCCATCTGGCGAGTTCCGGCGTAAACTTAACCAACCGCGTTCTCAGTGCTCTCTGGCATGTAAGCTTCCATGTTTTCGTCAAATTTTACCGAGATTAAGATATTTAAACGCGTCACAGATACACCCTTCACGTTTTCAAGAATTTAACTCGCGACTTAGCTGCAACTTAGCAATTTAGCTTTCACATTGGAACAGCATGATGATACAATGGACAATACGATGATTGACGAAAGACAAGGTTTCTACCCAACAAAGTGAACCGTTTGAATTCCAACCTGCTACCAGAGGATCAACGACCTAGACTCTAGCACGAAAGTGGTTTTTCTATCTCTACCGTTAGGTCAGCTTGAACCTTGGACACGACTGGGCCGGCATGCAAGTCTCGCGCGTTCGAGGGACAAAAGTGGTCGGTTGATCCGGCTCGTTCACGGCAGAACGTTGTAATGATCCTTTCTTCTGTACGCTGGCTCCGCAACAGCGGAGAAAGGAGTGAAAGGGAACAGGAAGGGAAACAGTGGTACGGCGGTTCTCGTTTCGCTGAGATTTACGAGAAGCCTGTTGTATTTATTAAAAGTTCTGTACCGACCGGGTTCCGTGCTCCTCGTGAAAACTCTAGAGCGTCTGAAACGATATTGTAAAGAAACGGAAGTTAAGTATCGCTAATGAAAGAAACGACAGGGGGTCGGCTACTGCCTCGCCAACGTTTCGTTCCTCCAAGTACGACCATCGAACGTTGACGGGATATTATTGTGATTCATATTATTATTGCAACGGGATCGATCTAATTACGTCACAACTCCGTGTATTTTAACCCGTTGGTACCTCTTACTGTGAGGAAGATTCGTGTAGCGCCAAGTTTAAGTAGACATTGCCAACTCCTGCGTTTCGTGCCACTTAAATTCCCGTATTTTACGCGTGATTTACATGGGATGCAAAGATTTAATCTTAAAACTGTTGACAGCAAAAATTATCTTTTAAAACTTATTGAATTATTTTTAATTCGAATTTTATAGGTTATATTTAATTTTACAGTTTGGTAGTGCTAGGGTTAGGTTAGATTAACGTTACAACTCAAATTCTGTCATTACAGTTTCTAAAAAGGACATAATAGTAGTACCTGCAACAATAGGATCGGTGTAGTGGAATAATTTGAGAGATTGAGGTTATGTACGCAGGATATGATTAAAATAGGTGACGATTAATTTCGATTACACCCTGTATATTCGTTGAAACAGAGCATTAAAGGCGAATTTAAGGCGAGTTCACATTTTAGGTGAGCCTCGGATACTTGCACAGAGGAAGATGTAAAGATTGTTCTCATCTGCATTTCATCCAAAGTAGACATTCAAAGTGACCAGCGAACAAAGCCTCGGCTTTCCATGTACCGAATGGATGATTCATCCATGGCGAGGCAGCAGTGACAAATCTAAATTGGTCCGGTAACAAGTGAACAGCCATTCAGATAACAGACGCCACGTATTTCAAAGATACTATTTCTCCCGTCGACGTTTCCCAAACTAGCGAAATGAATTCAACGAATACCCCTGCTTTCACGTTCCGCCGTCATCGTGGATGAATCGTTCAAAGCGCGGGAGTGTAAATTCGCCTTAAGGAAATCAGATTTCCCGCGTTTAAAATCCAGCTTTCATCTTCCGCGTTCGCAGATAAATCATCCGAAGTGTAAAAGTGTAAATGCACCTTAAGGAGATCTGACGTTCCCGTGTCTAACGTTATCAGTTGATTAAGGCGAATTTGCATTGGACATTTCTGGTTCATCGCGAAAGGCGTGGAGATTATTTTCATCCGCATTTTGTCCAAAACGTACAATCGAAATGATCAGTGACCGAAGTAAAGCCCGATTCATACTTCGATGACTCGATCGAATGGTTCGTCCACAATAAACCAGCAATGACAAAGTGAAACTTGCTCGGTAACGATCGGAACAATTATTGAAAGAATGTTAGGTAGACGTTTCGAAATTTCCAAATCCGCTACTACTAATCTATCTTTCATCTTACACCGTGATTGGAAGCTAGGCTAACAAGTGTAAACTCGCCTTAACCGTTTGAGTCCCAAGCAGCGCGATCGCGCTCTTCAGTCGAAGTGGCGCGCTCAACTTTGCTGATGCACGTACGTCACACAGCACCAATAAGCGCTATCGCGACGATTGGGATTTTTCGACATAAAATTAAACAAGCGCTATCGCACCGTTTGGACTTCTTCGTATTCGATTAAGGCAAGCGTTATCGCGCTGTTTGGGGTTTTTCGACCGTGTTCTTTCAAAAGCCTCTGGGACTCAAACGTTTAAAGAAACCTCATAACGTATATTCTCCGTATCTGAAATCTTCAAGGGACTAGCCACGCGATGCACCATACATAGCACGTATGAAAAGACGAAAAACAGAAATCTGAAGAGAATTTTAACGTGCTTTCTTTTCTCTGTTACAGTACTACGAAATGTCCTACGGCCTAAACGTGGAGATGCATAAGCAGGTAAGCGAGAGTTCTATCGAAACAATTTCTTCCCTCTCTTATCATTCATATTCATGCAGCCAAAGAAGACTCCCCATCCGTGCTGAAAGGTAGCCGTACGAAACCGTGCGCGAGACTTACCCTCCGACCTCTCCATCCCCAACGAAGTTACCCCGGCGAGACGTTAAGCCGGCCACCGCTTAAAGAATGTCGGCCTGATTTCTATCGCCGCCGCTTCTCCCGGAGTGGAGTTTAAGGATCAAAAGATTTCTCGTTAATTAAGTTCGGAATATGTCGGCCGATCCCAGCGGTGTCTAACGGCTACCCGTAGTCACGGGCCACAAAAACGAAGGGGTGACGGCGCATCTGGCCCGGGAAATCGTGTAATTTTGGCTAATTAGGGGAAACACTGGGCCACATCCCCCTTCTGTCAGCAATTTTCTTAAAAGCGACCACGACCCTCGTTGCACGCGAACCCCGTTGCTAGACCTCTATCTTTGCCTCCCTCGCTCTGGCTACCTCTATCCCTGTTCTCATCGTCGTGGAACAGCGTGGAGGGGGACAAGAGAGTCCTAAACTCCCAAACAACCCTCCCTGACACGACGAGCTGATATTCATTAGCATTAGCGGCCGATCATTTCTCACCCTTGTACCCAGGGGCGTTGCTTAATGGGGTGCAAGCCTGGGGACAGGGCAGGGATACACCGTCGCCGAATAGGCCCGGTCCACCATTAAATCGGCGCGAAATTGCGTCCGGTGGCTCAAGTGGCAAACTAGTTAGCTTAGGATGCTTTATAGCAGCGTTGTTATTGCCGTGTACGATTTGTGCTTCGAATTGATACGTCGCCCTTAAAACGTGTACCGTTTAATTGACTCGTTAGCGGCGTTACCTTTCACGGCTGGTTCCACGATCGGGTTCCAACCACGTCTGGCTGTGCGTGCCGGTACCAGGCTGATGTTGGCTACCTTCTCGATATCGTTATCTTGCTCGATTTTTCCACCAGGTCTGTTCAAACCAGTGTTAAGAGATCCCAACATCATGAGACGTGTCTTGAGACTCGCAACGTGCCAGTTCAAATTTCTGTTTTGTCTATACTCTTGTTAGCCAGGTACCACTGATATTGTCCTCCGTGGCACCTCGTCTATGGCAGCACAACTTGCAAAAATTTCGCAAGGAAATCAGCCAAGCAGGGGACAGGGGACTCTGTACTCAGCCGTAAGGAGTTTCGCTCAGAGGAGCTTTGCTCTCGGGCTACTTCAGGTCTGGCAGCACATTTTTAGCCCCACCATTGTTCTCTTTTACACCCAGTGGTGCGTACAATTGTGCGTGGGACACTACCCACTGAGATCCAAGGGCTCCAACGCAGGAGGTGAGATGAGTGATCTTGACCAGTGTGAATTCGCCGAAATTTGCTGCACCACATAGCGGATTATAGTCAATATCAGCTCCATCGGGGTTTCTGACTGGTGGAACCCATATAGTCAGAACCTACAGCAATCTCTGTCCTCAGTCAGGGACCGCTGTTACCGGTTCGCTTCGAATGTTCCAACAATCCGAGACCAGTGCTAGTTCATGCTAGTTATATTGTTTATATTTCCTGCCACTTCGGCGGATATAGAAGGACGTGAACGGTGATAAAAATCGCGCGATCCAGGATCGAGGAGCGTGATCGTGAACGTTAGTCCCACGTTTTCAGCCTTCCTCCAACGCGCTGAAACGATATACCGTTTTTTGTCGGGGGAAATGAGAATAAGTGGTTACTCGATACGCTCGTATAATTGCTAATGGACGCATAGGAGGGCAATAAAAGTAAGAGTAGGAAACAGAAAATCGCTGGTCGCCAGGAAATCAATCCCCTTCGGGCTCGCAGGCGACAAATTGCGAGAGAGCGCCGGTGTAACACACGGGCCTGGCTCTCGAATCTTCTAACGCTAATTAGAGGAGAAATGAAAAGTTATTGGTTCTTGGCGACCGGTTAATTAGCCGTGATAACGTCAGGCTCGCGTGTTTACCGGGGATCGCCGATTTTTGATTGTTTTTCTTCCTTGCTGCCGTGAGTTTATTCTTTTTCTTCTCACATTTTTAGGTTAACTTCGAATATTTATCATAGTTTAGATTTGGAGCGGATGAAAAAGGTTACAGAATTTTTACTATAATTTACATTTGGAGCTGGTGGAGAAGATTGCTAAATTTGGGCAATTCCGTGTTTCTTCGTTTCTAACTTCCCTAGTTGTATTTTATTTCTCAGTTTGTTGTTATTTTTCTGTTTGAGGTTAAGCGTGAATGTTTATCGTAGCGTGATTCGAGTTTGAAACTAACGGAGTGGATTATGGGAGTTTAGAGAACGGGTGTGGTTTTAATATACGGGTTCGTTTTTATGAGGTATCGAGACTGATTCAGAATTTCGTTGGTCGGAGGTTAATACGGACTTGGACTACTCTAATTAGTGACTAGATGGTTACTTGTGATCGCGAATGAACGCCACCTACGCGCTTGTTTCTCTCATCATCGTCGGCTTTCGTAACTATTATATCAAATCAGTCAAAATTACTTATACTCTCCAGATCTGTCGCTTTGTAATTATCCGTTGAAAATGTTATAATTGTTCAGAAAGATATTTATATCTAGGGGAAAATAGGGGAACTAGGCGTCGCGTATACAGAGTGATCATCTGGCTAGGGGATTCAAAGGTACTGTAACTACAAAAATTCCCTAGCACGAACGTAGATACGTATATCGTACATCTTATCGTGTATTGTACATAGTATATATAATGATATATATAATAATAATCTATTTGCAAATCAAACCCCATTTTCAAATTAAGAATCTTGTCTCCTCGTTTCCTCATTTTGGTATAAGAAAAAATGAAGTACAAGAAGGGTGGGTCAGGATACATGTAAAAAATTGACAATTTCGATATTCGTTTGTTAAATACCTTCACCCCTATACGCGGATTAAGGCGCGTTCAGAAAAATTGATTACGTTGCCACTTGTACGAATCTGAAGTTGTCCTCGGTCCCTGTGTTTCCTCGTTTCGGTGGGGGTGGGGGGGGGGGGAGAGAAGAAAATAGAAAGAGGGAGAGAGAAGAAGAAAATAAATCACCTTCCGTTTGGTTGTCTCCGGCACTTAGCCGGCTTTCGAATCGCGGTCTTCGGTCCTCGCTCCTTTTCAATTTGAGCACCGAATGAAAACAATCTTCCTCTACGAGGTTAGACCTCTCCCTCTTCCTCTCTCCTTCTCTCTCTGCTTCTCCGGCAACTTTCTCCCTTCGTTTTTACCCTTTTTAGCCGGCACCGTTGGCGAGTCTCTCTGATTTCATCCTCCTCGTTCTCTCCCAACCCCCATTAGTCCTCTGTCTCTGCCTCCGCTCTTTCCCTTCTGTTCTCCACCCTCTTCCATGTCCCCAGGCCCCTTCCACACCTCTTACCGCCGCCCCAAGTCGACATTTGCCTCCCACTCGGCCCGTTCGAGCCCGCAACCACCACTTTACCACTCGCTACTCGACTAACTCGAATTTGTTGGCAATGTCCCAGTTCTTATGCCAGTCTTTCTCTCCTTTCGCCTGGCCCCTCCCACGCTCTTCGAATAATCGCACGACAAGGCCTATACACGCTGCTGTCCCCGAATACGCTCGCGTTGATACGGGTATACCTGGCTCCATTCAGATCGTATCGAATTCAAGCGAATTTTGCTTCGGACAGGTACTCAGGAGGGATGGTTTACGTTGGTTTGATTTATTGGATAGGAAGGGATGATTTCGGACAGTTGAAACTTAGGTTTCTACAATTGGTCCAACAAGAGGAGCTATCGAATGTAGGTAATGAAGACTTCCTGGACCCGACTTCTTGGACCCAAGTATCGACGATTAACCCTTTAGCTTACGATGTCGTGGGAGACACGTCTCAAGCAATCGGGCCAAACGTAAACAGCTCGTATGAGAAACGTGATACGGTAGTCGGGTCAAACCTAAACATCACGTCTCTCAGACGAGATACGGCGATCGGGTCAAACCTAAACACCACGTCTGAGAGACGTTGTACGTTTTGGAGCTACAGGTGACAAACAGTTAGTAAACCCTTGAAAAATTGAAATTGAATCGTGGATAAAGGAAGAGTTATGTTAAATGGACTGTTGTGTATTACTGTTTAATGTTCACTATAGATTGTGTTACTTTTGTTAGTCGAGGATGCTTGATTTTCGTGTTCAGTTAGGTAAGATCCGGTGGAGGTTTGGCTGGTCCGACAGTTGTGGTATTAATAATCGGCTTTGAAATATTATTCCGACGAATTATAAATCCTATCGTGGAAAGTATATTTCAACGGAATAAATCGATTTAATATATCTTGCTATATGTCAACAGGAAGTTGCACATACTATGATGTGATTTGATGTAATTTAATGTTGTACAAGAGTTGTGGGTAGCACGTTCATGCTGTTGATTTATGAATCGCTGAAAATGTGCCAACATTTCTGAACATAAGTTTATGTCCCTCGCATCAAGCTACCATGAATGAACGATTATCCCAGTGCAAATTTTAGTTCCTCGCCAGTTCCCGAGGTATCTCCTCCGATACTAGGTGTCAATCTTAATTACTCGCGAAATATGAATTTTTAGCATGAGTTGGGACGAATCCAGAATAAGCAAAGCTTCAGATAAAATCGTACTCTATATTTTACATTTTATATTCGAAGAGGTACACGTTTCAATTAATCTAAATCATCGCCTTTGTCTTTCCGCGCAAAATGTTGACAGTGGAACGATGGGTCCTTTCAAAGTGACTAATTTCTCGCAGATTTTGGGAACACACAGCTGTTTTTGACAAAATTAATTTCAATTCTCTTTGAGATAATACCTATATTAATAACGCGTACTATAGTGAGTACTGTATTTAGCTACGCATTACATATCAGAGATTCGCATCTTAAAAATGAAGAAAAGAAACTTTTCAAATTCTACGAAAGTCGGTCAGAAATTAAGGACATCGCAGTTGCCAAGTTTCTTTTCTTGGTGTCACG